CCTCTACTTTAAATGAAGAACTTTTTCAGATGCTGAAATCCTTACTGACTGACTGACTGACACTCACTCACTTACTTGCTTACTTATTTTGGACAAGATTTTAGCCTATTTGGAAGCATAAATCACACTCTATGAACCACTTAATTCAAAGACAATAAATTATAATGCCTTGTAGGCACCATTAACGGTCTGTAAGCATGTTTATGTACCTATGTAGTTGAATTTTATTTCTTTCTGTATCGAAATTATTACTTCAAGTCAATTGAGATTTGATTCCAATTAAACAATGTTACTAGTTCAATCAGTTTGAAGGTAATCACTTGTTTGTTTGTTTGTTCATTTGTAAGAATGAAGATAAACATAGAGGTTTTTTGCTAGTGAAGTAATTTATTAACCAATTAGTCATAGAATTATTGTCAGTTTTACCACTGTTAAAAATTTCAAAACAAAGCAAAAAAAATGACACTATCATCACTGAATGTATATAGTTCACCTGTGTTTTAAATCAACAAGCAGGACCATTCACATATAAATAGTACTCATTAATAGGTAATCCCATTCGAAACATCACATAGGTCATCTTAGATCTATATATCTCTCCTTCCCCCGTGTGTGTGTGTGTGTGTGTGGTTCTTTGTGAAGGAATTAAATATGGTTTCATCATTAAAGTGTTTAAATGGAACTTGAAATTGAATTCCCAGAAGTTTTGTTACAGTTCAAAGTTATTCTGTCATTAATTTCTTTTTCAGCAGAAATATTTTTTCACACAAGTTTTTTTGAATTGATGTCAACTTGATGAAGTGTGATTTCAATGACAAATAATAATTCATAAAACATATTGGTTTTCAGTTCTCATTCCTTTGATGTAGTGTATTTTATGTTACTACATCAAAAAAGAAAAAGACGGGGGGGGTGGGGCGCGGTAATTCCAATGGTAGAGTACCAGGCAGGATTCTCGGTGGTTGTTGGTTGAGATCCTGCTACCCCCAAAACTTTTATTTTACCTTCAACCATCATCCAGTATCAATATTTTTTTCACTATTTCACTATTGTTGCTGATTGTTAAACTAAAATGCTTACTGAAGATTGTCACGGATAGGTTTGTTTTGTATTGGGAGTCAGTTTTCTATACGATGACTTTATTCAACCTCTATGATAAATGTTGAGACTCTGCCAGTAGTAATTGTGCGAATCCAGTTTTTCATGACTATTCATGATGGTTATCAGTCAGGTATGTCTAAGAATCTACGGAAATTCACATTCTCTTAGAGATTATGCATTCCTAAAATCAGAGAAAAAACGAAGTACCCAGTTCACATTTCACATTTGATGCGTATATTTCTGTCAATGCTTATGCAATGACGTACGGTGACCAATTTGTTTAAACATAAAGTTGCTAAGCAACAAAAATAGCAAACAGTCCGTTTTGGAGGGAGTTTGAATTCTTTGTGTAATCCCAATCTAATAATCATCAACAATTACGTTCATTGGTGCTTAGTTACCTACAACAGAGACAGTGGGCAAGGTTTCTAGCTCAAGATAATGAGAAATAATTGTTTAACTTTCCCCGAGATTTTTTTCTTGGACGGTTCATCACCCGGCTAGATGATACTGTTAGCTATTACAGCACAGAAAAGTGAAGTTTTTTCAAGTTGCTTTACAGTTTATGAAGTCATTGGTGACGAATCCACCTAGTATGATGACAAAACACACAAGAAAAGAATCTCACACATATCAGAACACCAAACAATTATCACAATGAACTGTGTTACACTGTGTGTTGCATTAAATCTAATTGGTTTCACCAGGTGATATTTCATCAACTAATGTGTTAAGTAAGTAAATGAGTAGGTAAGTAAGTAAGTAAGTAAGTAGGTGAGTGAGTAAGTAAATAAGTAAGTAAGTAAGTTCTAATATAATCCCAGTATATTTAGTTTTCTAAATATACTTTTGAACAAAATACTTGGTATATTTTGACAATCCATGATGATTTTATGTCGGAGATCAAAACATTGCAATCGTGAATGTCGCATGCCATCTAACAAAAACCCCTGTTGACTGGTATCACATTTGGGCAGTGGAAAAGCCACTCAACTATAAGAAATATCGACATGGACCATGGAATTCGCAAATCATTTGCAGATTAATGATGGACAGTGGATAGCAGTGGAATCCAGGACGCGCGTTTCGTTCTATTCAGGACCCGTCAGCTGGATATACCTACCTGCCAGTCAGTGGTGTTGTTCTCAATAGGAATTGAACTCAATGGTCCAGCGGATAGCGCTTTGGCGTTTGAAGCGGTCGGTCTCGAGTTCGAGTCTTAATGGGAACAACATCGCTAACTGAGGAGCAAGTACATCGAGCTGACGAGTCTTAAATAGGTCGAAACGCGCGTACTGCATTCCCCTGCTAGCCAATATCCATCATTAATATGTGATTGGAACATAGGCAGTATCGAGGCATTCGCACTTTGGCTTGCATGTTAATAGAGAGTGATCAACTTGGTCCACTCAACGATGGGATAATACAAGTAGCAATATCTTTTACAGGTTGTTTATCTTGTTTAGTTTCCCTCCTTTTTACTCTAACAATCTACTTGTTCTTATCGTTATATTTGGATTATGATTGATTTGCAACCGAAGAACTTAGATGTCTGCTACGAACCTTAATGGGTTCAGGTGGTTTAATTGCTTCTGAAGTCACTTTGGAATATGTTCCGAGGTCACTACTTGCATGGATCTATGAGTCCTCCCTATGTATGTATCACCACACGTACATTTGAATTGATACACACAGTGTGATATGACATTGTCGTTCACATGCCATAGGGGTTTGGGAGAATATATGGGCTTGGTAGTTTCAATCAATCGAACTCCGGTCGCACACTAAGTCCTAACAGTAGAGTTAAGTCTCTGTTTAAGGACTGTACTATGAAAGTCATCTTTGTACGGAAGACTGAGATACCTTTCTTTGGGACAAACTGAAGATCTAGTTTTGCCACTCTTATTATTTTGTGATGCCTAATAAATTTTGATGGATACTTATTTCCCAACAGTATTTCATTTCAATGTTCTTCGATCAAGAAGCATATCGTCGAGATAGGTCACAGGATTGACTTGGTCACTTCCTTTATGACTGATTGTTAAAACTCAAGGTTGATCATAGTTACAACTGGCAATTTATTTGAAATCATACAAATTTCCTTCACCTGTATCGAGTGTATAGATTATTGATGACGTAATTAGGCAAACTGTAAGGCCGATTACGTAACTGTTGTTAAGTTAGTAACCAAAATTGGTCTACTTGAGTGAATATCAGACCTATATGACGTAACTACGATGGATACAATCAATATGCCGTCAATGCAAGAAAATGTTGTTAGTGGTTATATTGTTTTATTTTACGCATACGTTTTAAACAAAATACATTGTCGAATATGAAAAGATAACTAGGAAATTATGGACCTTTGAAAACCGACTCAGTCACTGAATGGTTAATGCATTCACTTTGAAAGAAAAACGTCCTGAATTCGACCTCTAACCGAGTTATGGATGCACACTGCTGAGGACTAGTATACTAAGACGAAACAACTGTCCACTATTCCTTGACTTTCAATGGTTGTCTAAATGATGTTAGTCTGTGATGAATGCTACCTTAAAAAAACAATAAAGATGTATTGACCAAAACGTCTTCAAGTGAAAACCGCCCATTTCAAATTTCTTCAAGGTTAACCCTGTGTAGTAGATTTAATAAATCTTTTCTGTGCACATTTACGCACTTTTTATCACTACTTTCATATACATTTAGTCAAAAACCTGTAAAAGTGTTTTCATATCTCATTGATGTAGCAAATAAAAGCCGCTTAAGTGAGCAAGAGCTCATTGCTAATTAGTAACTATCCTTCTAATTGATATTCCGAGATCTTGATGAGAAAAGCGGTGACGTAATCATGCGAGTTAATTGGGAGTAAAGAATAAATACCCACCAATAATACTGGACAGTAGTTGAACTATTTCCGCTAATGGAATTTAGTAGAGAGATATGAATAGTCAGATTGTGATTGGAAAAGGTGTTTTAGGTAGGATCAAATTTAGATCCATTGGTGAAAAGTGGCATGCAATGATGAAACATTCTATACTGGTTTCTTATCATCCTTCAGCTTATGTTTATTCACAGTGAAACCATTTCAGTTAAACATAAGTGGTTACTTTTAAACTAAGTATCAAGTTGTGTAAATAAATTCTTACAAAGTTTCGTAATCAGTAACAAAAATTAGAGCCAACTTGGTTCGAAACTGCCTTATAAGTAAACATTTATCTAACTTGTGATGAGAAACTGAAGGTCATCGCTCGTTATATTCAACTTGGAAACCAGCGGTGGAGTTCAGGACGCGCGTTTCATCCTATATTGGGACTCACCACCTTGATGTACCTGTACCTCAGTGAGTGATGTTGTAGCCCCTAAGACTCGAACTAAACGCCCACTAGGCTAGTGGGGCACAAAACCTACCTTTTATCCAAAAGTGTGTCATCTGTTATTATCTGATGCTTGTGATTTTCCGTTAACATACAGGGTCAAATTGATCGACCTCATTGATTAACATGATGGTAGATCAAATTTAGTTTAATACTCTGTTTTTTAAGCTTAGCTGGTTGAAATATCAGTGGTGTAAATCAACAAGTTGATCCACTTTCTTCTAACTGGTCTCAAATTTCCCCATTTGTAAGCACATAAAGTTCTGCTATCACTGAGTTCTTCGCTTCGTAGTTAATGAAGGCCTTAAGATCCAGTGACAAGTCAAGCAAATGAACGCTTGGACAAATGAGTCGTTGTATCAATGATTATCTTATTCCAGCCACACACACACACACATTAGCATAATATCTGAGTTTCAGTACACTAAACTGAGTGGAGATCACTAATAAGCATAATTTGAGCATTGATTTGCAACTTCTTAAGTAATTTATCCTTTTATCTTCTCAATAACTTGATTGTTTCAGTTCGCCATACACTTCTGGGACAGATAGAAAACGCCGACGTGGAGTAAGTGAAAAATTGAAGCAATTACATTTCAAAAATGTCTTTTTTGATCATTTTGGTCATTATTATTATTGTTATTATCTGTATCTTGGGTTCCTAGTGGAACATAGGGCTTCACTAGCACGTCATTTCACTCTCCTCTCCGCAGTATTTTCAACCTAGTTCCACAAATTATCACAAACTTTCATTTCTTCTAACACCATCTCCTCAATGTCACACTCACCTCAGACACCCAACTAGTCGTTCCCCTATGGATTCCACTCAACGGCCTGACCTGGCACGCGATATCCCCAATCAGTCCTCTCAGTGTATCCTCAATACAATAAATCTCCACTTCATTCTGCATATTTGTTGGGTGACAGCTTCTCAGTTGGTTGGTTCGTTGACAAGCCACACTGAGTTTCCTGGTTGCTTATTATTACTATTCTAACTATCTGATCTGATCTGATCGATCTGATCTTCAGTGTCAGTGTCAGTATCGAGTGAGCGTAGACGGCAGCTGTTCATGTGTGTGTGTGTGTCTGTAGTTTGTTTGAAATGCTTTTCATGACGTGCCACCAAGTCTCTCAACAACCACATAGAAGCACTGATTAACTTGACTGAAATAGTGTTGAATATCCGGATGTTGTTCACACTTTATGCTGAGTGGAGTGGAGTGGAGTGAAGTGAAGTGGAGTGCAGTAGATCTCCACATTGGTTTCAGATGAATGCAGGGAGGTCTGCCTTGTTGTCTTTCTGATCCTGTTTGCTTTGACATGCTCATCTGTGCCTCAGCCGCCTGAGACGATGCTGCCTTGCCTAGGTAGGTGAAGAGACTACTTTGTTTACATTTCTTTCATCGACGGTGATTGGTGCTTGTTGTTGTTGGTTGGTTATCTTCATCACCACCTATAGGAGGAGTTTGCTTTCCACTGCATGAGAGAGAGCCTTCAATGCTCTTGTGAGGGGGACATCATGATAGCCACTCCAAAACTCAGTGTGCTGTGCTCCTGGTTGTCGTCTGGTTGAGAATATAGGAGTAGATGACTGACTCTCCAGTTCAAGTTTGGAGAGTCCACTTCCATTCCATCTGCAGATTCCCAGCAGATTATAAGCACTTCTATGCTATATCTTCTCATCTCTTTGGCGATGTGGGCAGCCTTCCAAGCCAGCCAGCTTCAATCATTGTATGGATATTCTATGTCCCCATTCTTACTTTCCGTTTCGTCGAGAGGAGTGAAACACATCAGCCAACTAGCTTCCTGAAGGCTTTCACCAACTGGTGTTATTTCGTCTTTCTGATTCCAGTGAGGAATAAGTTTGTTTTCTATACTTCGTCTATGCTTTGAAGTTTCTTCAGCCATTGGATTGGTTTTCTGGGGTAGGGTTTCCAGCTCTATGCCCGACCTTCCCTCTTTATCTGGGGTTAGTTCCGGCTAGTAACTAGTGACTAATTGCCTAGGCGAGGTTATTTTCTTTAGTTAATCATCTGAACTCGCATCATTATATTTCAGCGTGTAAAAGCAACTATACTTTTTCATATCTGTTCTCCATATTGGTATTATTCATGCCCTGGGATCAGTTGGAGAGCCGCTGGAAGCCTTAGAGTACTCAACAGCTGTCTTTTTCCAATTATGGGACCCCTCCAGGAATCGAACTCAGGATTTAGTCCACAATGAATATCAACCTGTAATCAATAAACAAATCCATGAAAACCTCGAAAATGAGTTGTTCCATTGATCACTTCGAGAGGTATTCCAAGAATTTCTTATGAAAATTCATGACCGGTGGGGCTAACCAAGTCAGACGTGAAGATAGTTACTCAACGACGTCACTTAGTGGATGTCACATTATATCGTGGACTGACAAAAGTAAGAAATATGGACTACTGGATTCCCACCCAGTGGCTGGCTGCTGACTGTGAAACTTGAAGGTCCTGGGTTCGATCCCTGGCGCGGCGGGGTTGTGGGTGCGCACTACCGAGGTCTCATACTAGAACAGAATATCTATCCAGCTCCCCAGGTTTCTAATATTTCTGCAGATGATGTCAGTTCATGGTGAATATCAACTCAAACTCAATTAATTAGTCGCCACATGATGAGAAATATCTCGTTTTTTGACTTTAACAGAAGAAAAAAGCTATTTCTAACCGTTCAGCTAATAAATAGGATTCTCAGATTACTCAGTTACATCTGTCTAACCAGTAAAGTGAATATTATTGAGACAGGATATCCTAAAGATTTGGTTATCGTTTGTGCTACATCGGTGACCGATCCGCTGATGGATATGCTGGATCCCCGGCTTAACAACTGATTATCCGTATTCCTGAATATTGATCCTGATCGTACTGACGATAATTAAGTGCTGACTGGAAATACAATCATCAACAATATAAGAGATGACTATCTACGCGTTATTCGAAATTTATTTGTCAGTCTAGGTACGCAAAATGGTTACCAATGGACCAGAATAACATGGATTTTCTGCTTAAACGTTTAATTACAATTTAATTGAATATCTAATGATCCATTTTATTCAACAACAAAAAATCAAATGTCAACATTTCTTCTCTTTTGCTTATCTCAAAAATAATTTTAAAACAAAAAGTAAGACACAAAATGATTGTAAAAGCGTTACAGTAGAAATGGATATTACTTTTAATATTTCAAGGCATCAATGATCACTAACTAGCATCATTTGAAGGACCATTGAATATGTGAAGTGTTGGACAGCTGTTTCACCATGATATGAGACTGCTGAGCGGTGGGCAACCACAACCCAATCAAGCATGGAACTCAGGACCTACGGGCCTAATGACGAACGTGTTAGCCATTCAACCACTGTATTGGAGTTCAATTCATGTTGGTCCATTAAGAATAGCACCTTAAAATTAATCAATTAATCACCACAAACCTCAGAGTTTTGATATCTTTATGAAATAGCAGAGGATTGAGTATGAGTGACTTTGAATGATAAAGACGTATTAAATCAAAGATAGTATGCCTGTTAAACAGATTATCTAATGAAGACATACCTAAAGGTAGTCCTTTCTATGGAGACTCATCACAGTGACACACAAACTTTATCACCTAACTCCAGCATACACGACATATGTCAAGAAAAGGAATATTGATAAGCTCAAAGGTCATAGGGATTGCATTGATGAGTTTACAGATTTAATCAATATAAAAATGGCTTATTCATTGGACTCGTGTATAAATAAATAACTAGGAAGAGAGATAATGTCACATATTTTGATTCGTGATGAATATATATATTTCAAGTTGTTTTTCATCGTAGACTGATATCAGTTGGAGGAACAAAGGAAACCTGGGAGCACTGGACTGCTGTTTCGTCCTAGTATGGGACTCCTCAGTAGTGCGCACCCACGACCCCACCAGGGATCGAACCAGTGACCCTCAGGTTCGCGGTAGCAGACATTGTCTGTTCGTGAGCTAACAGAAGTTGGAAATATGAACCATTGGATTCTGACCCAGTGGCTCAATGGTAACGTGCTGACCACGGATTCTGAAGGTGGGGGTTCAGTCCCTGGTGGGGTGGTGGGTGCGCACTGCTGAGGGGTCCCATACTAGGACGAAACAGCTGTCCAGTGCTCCCAGGTTTCCTTTATTCCTCCAACTGATGTCAGTCTACGATGAGTAACAACTTGAAATATTTTCAAATCCTACAACTTCCTCTGAATATATATATATATATATATATATATATATATATATATATATATGACTCTTCAGTAGTATGCATTCACGACCCCGTCACAGCTCGAACTCGGACTTTCAGATCTGGTGGCGAGATTCTCAAACCATTCAGACACTACATCGTTTTCAAAGGTCGATAGTTTCCTGATTCTGTCAGTTCGCGATATAACTCGACTATCTACCAGAGTTTTGAGTCGACATTCACTTCACTTCCAGGTGATTGACTCCACAGGTCATGGTTTCTTATTAGAACTTCCGTATAGCGTGGCTATATTGCCACTTGACAGAAGTTGGAAACTATTAGCCATAGTGTTGAGACCCAGTGACTCAATAGTAACGCGTCTACCATCAGACCTGAAGGTCCTGAGTTCGATCTCTCGTGGGGTCATGTATACATATTGCTGGGTAGTTGCATACTAAAACGTAGCAGCTGTTCAATGCTCTCAGGTTTTCAATGGTTCTCTGACTGATATCAGTTTGTATATCACATGAATTCTACTGCTTTGCCTGTTAAACCAAATATATTTAGAGTTACTCCTTCATAACTGGTTTTGCCACGTTTCGCCAAGTATAAGATAAGCATGTTATGTAAATGATGAAGATGGCCAGACGATTCAGCTGAAAAGGTAAAATACTTGAAGAGATTAGGTCTGAATGATATAAACTGCTAGTTAGACAACGATCAAAATGAAGAGAATTTTGTGACTTCGACTGAACTTATTTCTGTATATTAAAACAATCTAATCAATAAGCCCGTATATGTGAGTGATGTATACCTGAGTAAAAGAATTCGTCACCAGTGGGTCACCTATGTAGTTCCCCACTACTTGGTGCTAAGCAGTGATCAGAGTCTCTCGATCCAGCTTTGGATTCTAACTGCTAAGCAAACTGAAACAACACTACGGTGCACTACATTTTCGTATTATATGGTGGCAACTAATTTGTGTATGTAATCAAACTCTACAGTGAGTTGTGACGTAAATCAAAATCAGTTACTTCATGATTGTAGATATACCTTGCTGACGAGTGCTAATAAATGCAAAACCCACGTTCAAAACTTCCTTCTTAGTTACTCAAGGACTGTAGTCGGGCCAAACCCTTGATTATTGAGGTGAAATAGAAATCTGGTCAGTAGTCGGACCTAGTAGCTCAGTTGGTCGAGCATCGGGCCGGAAACTCGGTGGTAGCTGGTTGAAATTTGGCCGCGGACCAAATCTTTATTTCACCTTCAATCATTACCCAGTATGAACACTAGTTTGTCGAAATGATAAATTGTACAAATGCCATGATGAATTGTTTTATTTATCAACAATTCAGTAAAGTATAAACTATAAAGTAAAGAATTGTTTGAAATAAGTTCATTCTTCTAAATCACCTCATTTTTAAGAATAATCATTTCTAGTAAAGATGGACACTGACCATCAGTGGAGTGCTGAATATGTATTTCGTCCTATTTGAGACTCGTCAGCTGGATGTACCTCCCTCCCAGTGAGTGATATTGTTCCCACCAGGATTCGGACCCTATCGTTACTATAATTAGAACATAGGTAATATCAGGGTATCCCCACAGGAGCCCATCTGCCAACAGAGGCTGATCGATTAGGTCCAACCAAAGACGGTATATTATAAGCAATTATACTAAAACTATACCCGTCGCACAAGAAGTGGCTATCGTGGTTCGGTAGTGTAGTGGATAAAGCCATGGCATTTGAAGCGATCGCTCCCGAGTCCGAATCCTGGCGGGAACAATATCACTCACTGGGGGGAGGTACATCCAGCTGATGAGTCCCAAATAGGACGAAATGCATATATTGGACTCCACTGCCAGCCACTATCCATCTTTACTATAATTAGAACACAGGTAATATCAAGGTATTCCCACAGAAGCCCATATGCCAATAGAGGCCGATCAATTCGGTCCAATCAACGACGGTATATTGTAAGCAATTATAATCATCACTTCTAGCTATAATCAAACTTATTTACTTATCAAAAAAAAAATAACTAGAAAAATATTTCTTCTTTTGTTCATAGGTTATTGAGAAACGAAGACGTGACCGAATTAATTATAGTCTAGCAGAGTTAAAACGTTTAGTGCCAGATTCGAACCATAAACCAGTAAGTGAATAACTTGTTGTTTAACAAAGATTACATTTCATACAATTTTCTTCTCTTACTGTTCATGAAATCTTTGGTGAGCATTTCTGAGGAGTCCTAAGGTTGTATAAAGCAGTTATTCAGTGGTCACAAGTTTTCAGAGGTTCTCTGACTGATATTGTTAATAGGTGATGCACTATCAACTTAAGTTTTCTAATTCTGTTCTTTTCTCTACATGTTGTTATCAAAGTTTAAAATGAAATTTGATCATACACGGAATTCAAACTGCAAAACTTGTTAAGTTCCTGTAGTATACTATCATCAGGCTTATTTGTAAGTTGGAAGTCTGAAATCTCGATCATCAGCCTCTCATTAGAATGTCGCAAGCATAGTTCACCTGTATAGTTTCATAAACTATTCATATGATAGCAATGTATCTACTCCTTTCCGATTTCGAAAACATCTTGAGATGATGTTATGTAACAATATGAATAAGAAGGATTATGCTAACTACGGAATACTACAGGTCATTCTAATGGCCTGAAATCATGTTGTCTTTCGACATCAATTTAGTTTATCACAGTTTGGAGTGAATATCAAGGAAAATGTTTTTCAACACCATTCTAAGGCCATTTTTTCAGATCATTTTCAAGATCTTCCTCAAGAACCTTAATAGCCTAGGTAGATAATGCTTCGTTGTTTGAATCAGTGAGTATTCGGTTAGAATCTCAGTGGAAACGACATTACTCACTCGGGTGCAGGTAAATTCAGTGAATGACTTCCAAAATTCAAATCAAACGCACCTACTGAATTCCACTGTTGACCACTGAGTGGACAACAACATTCTTCAATCCTTATTAGTTCAAAACATTTTGGTACGTGGTGTATAAATTATTTTAAGCCTAGTCATTATATACAGTGCTATAGAGATAAACTTCATAACAAGTCTTAAAACCACACAATGTTTGCCTTATCAGTGACTGACCTTAGAAACAAGATCTTCTAAATGATCCTGTCAAAATATGTGCATATCTGTTTCTATGTAGCTGTATGCGTATGCCACCATCATCAGTGTATAGTGATTTCAGATAGGATTTTTCGTCTTTTCATGGGATCGTATAATGAATATTATTTGACTAGGAGAATTTTCACAGATTAGAAAAATGATCTATTATCATATAATTTCTTTGTTTCTGTGATATGATAAACTATGCATAAATAGTAAAAGGTGTGCTCCTTTCTTCAATTTTTAAGTATCTGTTACTAAGAGAGATTGTTTACTACCTTGTCTTTGTATAATCTATTCATTGTACACTTTAACAGGTTAAGTAAACTCTGATTAGTAGCAATGAGTTGCAGTTACTGTGTTATCTTTGTTTTGATCCAACAGTCTGTGTGTTGGTGCTAAAACCATCATTCACACACTATCAATTTCAACCTTTTTCTAGCTGATTTGATAAGATTGATCCTTGATTACTCATCAGACAATTTCTGTTATGAAATTACTTAGTAACCTTGACAATAAATATCATCTTCTACGTTCCATTGCTGAAGAAAATCATTTCAATGACTTGAACAGTTCCTTATAATTTTTTATGTTCACCTTACATTTTAATTAGAAACCTGAAGGATCAAAGTAGAATAAACTAGATGAATACAACTGATAGAAGAATGTACTTGCAGCTATCAAGTATGTAGAATACCAAGGGAACAAGTTCATTGATTCATGCATGAACTATTGATAAGACTCCACGATGCACATTTTGTCCTATTTGGGACTCGTCAGCTGGATGTACCTGCTTCCTAGTGAGTGATGTTGTCCCCATCCTGGATTCCACTGCTAGCCACGATCCATCATTAACATAAATAGAACGCTGGCAATATCGAGGCATCCTCACAGGAGCCCGTATATCAATAGAGACCAATCAATTTGGTCCAATCAACGACGGCATCATAAAAAAATTTACACCATTGATAAGACTTTGAATAAGTCATTATGATGAGTAAATGTATTACCGATGGAATACTTTACGCTAAACACTGTACAAAATCGTACTGTGCATCCTCAGTATGTTTCTTGACTACCTTTATCTGATCCTAGGGGAGTCTGATTTCAAAGAGTAAGATTTCTGTAGTGACTGCTGATGTGATCGCTCTACTGTAATACGATACGATGAATCCAGGATTCATCAGGGGAGTAATTACTGCTTACATGAGGCTGACAACTAATTTATGATTAGTGTTACACTGAAGCAAAAGTTGAAACTGATATCCTGCTGAATTTACTGATATCTCTAATCAGAGTAAACAAACAATGGAATTTATGTCATTGCTTGTATTATCCTGTGGTTGATTCAACCGTATGGATCGGTCTCTGTTGCTTCTGTGCTGATACCATGGCATTGTCTATCGTTTTAATTTTATATTAGTGATGGATAGTGGCTAACAGTGGAATCCAGGAATAGCGTTTCGTTTCATTTGCAACTCGTCAGCTGGAGGTACGTGCCTCTTAGTGAAACTCGTACTCGAGACAGATCGCTTCAAACGCATGAAGGTTATCCACTAGGACACCGAGTTACAACAGTCACTTCATGAGCTATGGATGTAGTTTTCATGTTGTTGCTTGTATTATCCTATCACTCACTGACTAGATAGAATTCATAGTACCTTACCAGTATGTGTACAAGTAGCCATTGAATTTTAAGACTAATGAATAGAAAAATTTCAGTACATCACGTTTAATTATAATTTTTACTAACATTCCTCTAATCTTACCTTTAACTAAATAACTATCATAAAATATACTCAATACTGTGATTAATGTATAGGGTATATATTATTAACAATTTATGCTGTGCATTGAAGTACACCTGCTTGCCTTAGTAGAATAAAATGGATCGTATAGTTGAGCAGCTGGCTTACTACTATAGCATATATAAAAGCTGACATAAAATGAAATGTTCTTCTGTCTCCGATGTTATTTTCTGTGCCTATTTAGTGTTGTTTAGAAAGGGGGATTGAGTAAACGGATTTTAAGATCATATCAGCTAAGATTAGCATTTCTTCTCAGTTTGAGTAGATACTGACTGACTTGTCTTACTCACACCTTTAAGGCATGAACCCATAATTTCATATATATATATATATATATATATATATATATATATATATATATATATATATATATATATATATATATATATATATATATATATATATATATATATATATATATATATATATAGCTACTATCCTCCCAATATTCTTTCGTCTGAATGGATAACAAGGAGAATCACAAAGGGAATGATATAGTAAGGAATGAAAATGATGGGATTAGCAAAGATATAAATTCGAAATGAAACTATATATGTTCTCATTAAGAAGATAAATTGCTCAAAAACCAGGTGAAGACCTTGTTTTCGAGTTCTAACATCATTTATGTTCGTGTGTGTGTATGTATATATGTATATAATTTTTGCGTAGATGTTCATTCATTCGGTTTTTATATTTATTATCATTTGTCATCATTCCTAATTGGAAGTCAGAAAAACCACCTGCATAACATATAAACAGTCTTTTAGTTAAAACTGAACTCTGATCTCCTCATCATCTATATTTCATCCAAGACATTTTCTTGATCTTCTGCATACTTTTTAAAAGTATGCATTGATTGGTCACAGAAGAACAACTGATTCCATGTGGTCTTATCCTGAATAAAGACCGAATCTTATCGATCCTATTAACAATGTGGCCACCAAGCTAGGAAGCTTGGCATCGCAGTGCACTGTGATAGATGTTAGTTGGTTGAAGGCAATCGGTAGGAAGCCCTGGACCTGAGTTTCGTACTTGTTGGCACTCGTCAGCAAGGCGTAACTGCCGCCTCGATGGAACTGATGTCCCGCCTGATATTCGGACTCACGTCACCCAGAGTTGTAGTCAGCGACTTTACCCCTGAGCTATTCGGGCCACAACTGAACACCCATAGGACTGGGTTGCAAGCACTGATTAGTCACAGGAGAGTAACCAGTTTCATGTTGCCTATTCCTGACTGCAGACTGAATTCTATCGATCATATTTACAATGTGGCCACCAAGCTAATTTCAGTAATCAAGAGTCGACTTGATATTCAAGCAACGTAATCGTCTCATATTATTGCTCGTAGTTTCTCGTTGCTGTTCTCCTTAAAATCAAAACTATGCCCATCACATAAGAAATGGTTACTATGATTCAGTGGTCTAGTTTATAACGATATGGTATTTGAACCAATGAGTACTGAGTTCGAGTCTGCACGGGAACAACACTGCTGGGTGCAAGTACATCCAGCTGACTAGTCCAGAATAGGATAAAACACGCGCCCTGGACTCCACTACCAACCATTATTCATCATTATTACTAGACTGTAATCTTGTCAGTTGAAGAACTACATTCTTTATTGACTTCTCCTAAATCTAATTATTCTCTTATATGTACAGAAGATGTCTATGAAATGTTGAGACTATTCAACAAATTTCTCTATATTAGAAGTTGTTCTGTATATAGTAACAGCTAACTCTTGTTCCACAGGTTCGCTTGTTGGTTTTTATAGATATCTTGTGTCTTGAATGTCAAAACAAACCACCTTAAAGGAATCCTTGAGCTGCTGAATACGTCTAAAGCCTAAATATTAAAAACTGAACTATACCCTTGTTTATTGATTCTTCGTTGCTACACTGTGTCGGGAGAAGACAAAGGTCATGAAGATTCTCAGACACTACCACCACCAACAACAACGACAAGCCCCAATCACCATGAATGGGAGAAACCTAAGGGGAGTAGTCCCTTTCATCTACCTACCTGACTACGCAAGGCAGTATCGTCTCAGGCGGCTGAGGCACAGATGAGCATGTCAAAGCAAACAGGATAGGAAAGACAATAAGACAGACCTCCCTGCATTCATCTGAAATCAGTGTGGAGATCTACTGCACTACACTCCACTTCACTTCACTCTACTCCACTCAGCATAAAGTGTGAACAACATCCGGATATTCAACACTATTCCAGTCAAGTTAATCAGTGCTTCTATGTGGTGGTTGAGAGACTTGGCGGCACGTCATGAAAAGCATTTCAAACAAACTACACACACAACACACACACACACACACATGAACAGCTGTCGTCTACGCTCACTCGATACTCACACTGACACTGAAGATCAGATCAGATCAGATCAGATAGTTAGAATAATAAGAATAAGCAACCAGGAACTCAGTGTGGCTTGTCAATGAACCAACCAACCGAGAAGCTGTCACCCAACAAATATGCAGAATGAAGTGGAGATTTATTGTATTGAGGATACACTGAGAGGACTGATTGGGGATATCCCGTGCCAGGTCAGGCCATCGAGTGGAATCCATAGGGGGAACGACTAGTTGGGTGTCTGAGGTGAGTGTGACATTGATGAGATGGTGTGAGGAGAAATGAAAGTTTGTGGTAATTTGTGGAACTAGGTTGAAAATACTGCAGAGAAGAGAGTGAAATGGTGATGTGCTACTGAATCCATGGGAACCCAAGAGATAAATAATAATAATGATACACTGGGTCGAACTACCTAACCTGTGCTGGCAGATGGACTCCTATGTTGATGCTTTGACACTGCATGATTATTCAATTTTACTGTAGTTTACTTGTTAGTTAGTAGTGAGATTCAATAAGTGTGTTTTGTCCTGTTTTGGAGTCGCCACCAAGACCTGAAACCAGTATGCATCGCTTCAAGAAGCAAAGCTTTATTCATTTGGTAACTGGGGCAAACTTTGGTGTTTGAAGTGATGGACAGTGGGTTCTAATCCCAGTAAGAATACCTTGTAAGTATTAGTTTAAGATAAGTGTATCAAAATTATGGATAGAATACAAACAAATAAGGTTTGTCTGTATATATAAATGGTTTCGATTTATTTTTTATTCTTATAATCATGGATACAATTTTCGATACATCCTAATAACTCCAACTTTTGTCTTTTTCACAATAGGGTTCAGCTAAACTGGAGAAAGCTGAAATACTTCAACTAACCGTTGAATTTCTACAGAGACTGCATAAAGAAGGTAAACTAAAAAGAAAATGATTAAATTTTGAGGGAGTTGTGGAGATTTTGGAATTATTTCAAGTTGTTATTCATCGTAGACTGACATCTGTCCAGCTGTCCAGTGCTCCCAGGTTTCCTTTGTTCCTCCAACTGATGTCAGTCTACGATGAATAACAACTTGAAAAAAAATGTTGATTTTTGAGAATATCTATTCATTATTGCCGAGCTATATACATCCACCTGATGAATAAATACTAAATATTGACCCTTTTTAATTCAGATAAGGCACAATTAAATAGTGATTGATGACACTTGAAAAGAGAAAGCATGACAAACACTTTATTCCCCCTTCCTGAGCTGAGATCGAAGAATTTATACATTTGTAACATTGAGTTGCTTGAATTTATATCAATACTAACATCAGTCATTAGATGTTTAGCTTTATGGAAGAGGAAAATCGGTTCACATATCCGGTAGCAAAGATTTTGTGTATAAATAAGTTTGAAAAAGCATGAAAACTAACTTCTAGGCTTCTTGTCAATTAAATTCAGTTATCCAAAGTTCAATTGAATCCATTCATCTTTGGGATCATTCTGTTTTTAACACTAATCTTCGATACATTAACATCTGAAGAAGCACAAGTTTTCCGAAGTTTTCCATCCTATATGTTGAGTAAAGTTAACTTTCAACGGTTGACTGTGCTAACTTTGTACACACAATTATCTCTTTTCCTTAACTTAATGATTATTTCATTTTTTTTTTTAAGGTTATGTACTTGGTTCAGAAGCCCGATCTATTGAATTACGTCGTACAGGATTTAAAGATTGTTTATTGGAAGTAACACGTTTATTATCCACTTATGATGGTATAAATATTTCTAGTCAAGAATTGACTAGACATTTATTAAATCATCTTCATCAATGTGAAAAACAAAGAGATTTAGAATCAAAAACATATCTAACTAATATTGCCGCTGTTGCAAATGTAATGTTAACTCAAACAAGTTCATCTAATATATCTTCAACTACAATTGGACAATATCAACAAAATCATCAGCAACAAAGTAATTATCAGCATCAACACTTTCCAAATTATTTCAATGATTCATCTTTAATGAAGTCAAAATCTACAAAAAGCAATTCATTTATATGTGAGCAGTCAAATAAACTGTCTATTACACCTTCTTCAACAAATAAATCCCTTAAATCTTTACACACAAACACAAATCATCAGGCCTATCCATGTTCAGATTCATCAGTATTCTATAATAATGATAATACTTATACACCTTATCAGTGTGTTGACTTTCAAATGCTTGGCCAACAGAATCCATATAGATACACATATAAAGTGGGAGACCGGGAATCTGAACAGCCATCCAATTACTACCTGCCATCAGATTTCTGCCATTCGAATTATGCTTACGGGGAACAATCGAGTAGAAATTTATCATATTCTTCTTCATCATTATCTACTACTTTATCGACTACTACAGCACCTGTAGGCGCTGAAGTAATTCGTTGTGTGACAAATCATACAAATGATAATTTTATTCCTCCTTCTTTCATCAGTACAGCATATCCTACTATGCATAATATTAATGGTAGTTCCTTGTTATCTACAGGTCTTGGCCCAAATGAAAGTCAGTCAACTTCATCACCACCATTTCGTTCTACACCAGAAGATTCAGAGATTGGTTTTAGTCCACATCTAAAAAATAATTTATCAGGAATTGTTGGCAGTGATGAAGTTGAAGATGAGTGTAACTATTATACAACAATAATAACAGCCACAGTATCCTCAGCAACAATGACCACTTCAGTAGCGAAAACAATACCAACAGCTATCTATCAACCATCCAACTATCATAATGATTATGATTATACTTATCATGAAAAAAATGATGTTTGCATGAATCTATCAACAGGGGATTATCAATGTTCACCAATTAAGTCACATCATTTGAATACAATTAACACTCATGATATATATTCAAAGCATTTAACTCACAGCTACAATGCTACAATCGTAATCCATTATATTCAAATTATCCAACTGATACATGGCGTCAAACTAATAAAACAACAGATTTAGTACAATATCAAGATTATATATTACATTCACAATTACCATCTACTGTATTGGAAATAGGTGTACATACAAATACATCAACTACAACAACCACGTTGTCATCAATGACACAAAACATCAGTACTATAGCTAATAATATGCTAAGTAGTACTATTAATGATCGAGGTGCTAGTTGAAAACTTTAAATATCTACAATATTCTTCTTACATTATAATCAAACAAGGAAGTGTTTACAATCGGTGTCCTATTGAACATCGAATACTTAACTGTATTTTTCATCAACATATTGAAAGAAGAAGATGAATTTTTTAGATACTTTCATGTACGACCTATACGTACAATAGCACATTGTATATTGTATAACCTTATATCAATCCTTCTTACTTATTTTTTTTCTTTTAAAAACTTTTTTTTCCTATTTCCAAGTTTACCCTTACATATACTGTTAGTAGAAGTTTGTTGTAAATTACCAAAGAATTTCACTGATATACTTGTAGAACATAATTTTGAATGCATTTTTATCCTTATGTAAATGGTGATCAAGTTTTGATATGAATGTGAATGATTAATATGAAGATCTGCTTTATGACAGATTAGTTTTCAGATACGAAATAGGCGATCGCGTTATTATTCATGCAAGAAAGCTTCAAATTATCATAGAAAGCATCATTTAGTGGGTTGTGAAGTTGTAGCTAATTGGTTTAGGGAGCTGACTTTCAATTGAATATGGGGGTTTGTGGGGATTTAGAGATGTTATCGTAGAGGAAAAATACTCAACGATGACATTGGGTGGTGGTTGCGCTATCTCATGAACTGACAGAAGTTGCAAATATGGACCATTAGATTCCGACCCAGTGGCTCAATGACAACGTGCTGGCCACGGATCCCGAAGGTTGCAGGTTCGATCCCTGGGGGGTTGAGGTCGTGAGTGCGCACTCCTGAGGAGTCCCATATTAGGACAAGACAGTTGTCCAGCGCTCCCACGTTTCCGATGTTCAGCCAACTAATGTCAATCTAAGATGAATACCAGCTGACTTTCACCCGTTGGGTCACGCGTTCGAACCCCACTCCGCCTACTGAGATTTCGGCAGCTAGGTAGTAGCAATAGCCTTCACACAATAGGTGCAGCTAACTAACTAGTGCACGAATGTACACGAGGCTGTTGGGGTTTTTCTTCTTCGGGGGAATATAAATTAGAGCAAAACAGGACGTCATAGGATCGTTAAAAAGTCGAGGATTTACAGTTATCCTACATACTGGAAATGTTACCTGGCCATAATTTAGGTTGTTGGTTGAACTGAAATGATTGGTCTTGATTGTTATATAGGCTCCTGAGTGAATGTCTCGATACTGCATATAGTTTCAGCCTGATGGTAATCATGAAGAGTGGTTAGCAGTAGAATCCAGGATGTACTCTTCTTCCCACCTATTGCTCATGAGACGAGCGTACCTGCGACCCACTGAGATTTGAACTCAGAAAAACTCGCTTCAAACGCCAAAGCATTACCTACTAGACCACCGAGGCACGATAGCTAATCCTTCTTTTCGTTTAAATAGCAGAGAGTTGACTCTTTCACCATAGAACTGCCGACTATTATCCAGATGTCGGTTAGGTTTTCTTCTGATTCTAGTTATCAGTCTTCCCAGTCAAGACCATGTCAATCTTATCGATAATATGTCACTAGAGTCGATTTTCACTGTTCCATCAGATATCTATTAGCTAATTAAACATTCGAAACTGTAATTTAGGTATTTTTCATAAATATAACCTTCCAGAATAACAATGAAAAAGCCTATTCACATTCCTCAATCCCACAATTCATGTGCATCCATGAAAAAGGGAGGTTTTGTGGTTCTAAGCTGCTTGAAGTGAATAATCTTCTGGTCGGTCTATAGACGATATTGTAATAAGTCACAATATTTCTTTTTTGGTTAAAAATGTAACATTATCCAGTCTCTATAGTGGAAGGAAGTTGATACTGTACTAGTTTAGATGACATCGTGAAACTTACATATACTTCATAGTGGTGGCATTTAGTTTTCTCAACTAAATGAAAAATTCAGTGATTATTTGGTTAGACGTGAACCTGTATAACACTATTTAATGATATGAAAGACATTAAACAATGCTGTCCTGAATTTTAGGTATAAATCTTTTCTGTTGTAATATTAATCACAACATGTGATCTCTGATACAAAAGGGTCATAATTAGCAAAAGATACTACCACTGGAAAACTTAAGTAGTTAAAACTACTGTAGTATTTCATCAACCAGATTAAAGTGACGGCCGTTTTGCACGTTTGAGGCTGAGCTCATCAGCCGTGTATCCGGACAAATTCAACGCACAGAGCCTAATTAGTTCCAATGGAAGTGGATTAGACGTGTTGATTGGTCATTCAAGGGTGACCAACTTCATGTTACCTAGTCCTGAGTGTTAACAGAATCCTATCGATCAGATTATAATGTGGCTACCAATCTGGAAGGCTTACTAAAGCGTTGAACTTTGATAGGTGTCATTTGATTGAATGCAATCGACAGGATGGCTTGTTCGACTTTGACACTCGTTAATTTTCTCAGGGTTGTAGATAAGCCTTGCTCCTTACAAATTCTGTCAGATGAAAGTTCAATGAATAGAACGGGTTTGAAACAATATTCTGACATAATCTCCTATCAGACAGTATTAGGAGTTTTAACAAAATATTCACAAAATTATAACACGCTTACACTGACTGTATCGTTTGTGACTAGGTTTAATGTTGACAGTTTGACTATAGCATACATCTTCGGTTAGACAAACGTAAATTAAAAACATGTAATCCAGAGAAGCAAATTTTCTTTTCTTGTGGTAGCAACAAACAAATACACTAGCCTATTATTTGCTAAGAGGTCAGCATTAGGTCATCGAAATGGAATGTTCTGGGGTGAAATAATGGATTGACTGTAGAGTTACAAAGGGATTGCGTAATCAAGTGTATAAGGAAAGTATGCAGCCGACTAAGGTGACGACTAATAGGTTAAAAAATAACATTACTAAATATTATCAACATATCATTCAGAATAAGATAAATATTGAAGCAATACAGAAACTCAAGGAAGAATTATTATCATGGGAAAATAAGCGGATGGATATACTTGTTCTGTAAGCTTAGCTCAGACTTTAACTGTTGGATTGTCAACACCTCTACAATACACAAGTGACCAGTTCGAACTCCTTTTGAGACGTTCAGCTTGGCTTTGTGTAGGACTTTGAAGGAAAAATGTGGGGAAGCGATATGATCAGAGTTGACCAAATAGTTTACGATGGAATTGTTGTTAGACTTTCGTTCTCCTCTAGACAGTCGAACAGGATACTATTCGGAAATGTGTTTGGAAAAACTGCTATTTATGCGGTCTGAATAACCAGTTCCGTAACAGCACGTAAGTTGATGGACACACACAGATGTTCTTCGCACTTCCTTGAATCAACTGTTGGATAGAGAAGACCATTCGCAGTTGTGTGGAATATAGAATGTTTTTCTGTATGCTTTGGATTGGTGATTCTTCAGTATTTCTGGTGCGTTGTCCCCTTTGAATTAAATAATCTATAAAATGAGATCGTCTTAGGAACAGTTAGAAATTCTCGTCGTTGTTTTGACTTCATGTTTTTCCATGAACCTTGGTGGATAACCATTCTCAAGAAATACTTTCCGAAGGTATTCCAGCACATCGTCTATTATGTCGCTTATGTGTGTTTTTCTTATTCTCGTGCAGGGTAAATAAGTAAAGTTCCTGTGTCATTACTCTGGGAATGAATGCCTTGGACATTCCAAGGTGGCTTCTTACAGACCAAGTTTTTAAAGGTGCTATCAGGTCTTCTCAGGAAATATCAAGAAAATGAAGTCCTCAGTTGTTTCCAACCTCCATCATGAAACTGATAGAAGGATAACTCCTACTGAATTTAAGGTTAATGGTGTTAAGATCAATTTTCTTGTAGCAGATGATGAAGGTCTCACCCGTATGTCTTCTATACAAATGGAAGTGAACAATGATTAGATGTAGCACATTGTTTCCAAAATGAGCAATAAAACAATCTGCTAGAAGAGGGCCCAGAGATGACGCCATGGCTACACCATCCTTTTGTTGATAAAATTCGTTACTGAAATTGAATTGTACATTAAAAGTGCATTGTAAAAGTAATTCCTTTAGATAGTGAATTGGGATACAGACTTCTAGATTATTAGTTTCAATATAGTTACATGGGAAACAAATTGTTATTATTATTTGTCCCTTGGGTTCCTAATGGGACATATGGCTTTAGTAGTACGCCTCCATTGCACTCTGTTCTCTGCAGTCTTTTCAACCTGGTTCCACTACTGCCCACAAGCTTTCATTTCTTCCTCATATGATCTCATCCATGTCACCCTCGCCTCAGACGCCCAACTCGTCGTTTCCCACTTGACTTCCACTCGAGGGCCTGGTGCGTGATGTTCCCAATCAGCCTTCTCAGTGTATGCCCAATGCAATCCATATCCACCTTCTTCTGCATATTTGTTGGGTGACAGCTTCTTGGTTGGTTCGTTGACAGGCCAGAATTCCTTGTTACTTATTCTTACTATTCTGGCCATCTGATCTGCAGTATCGAGTGAGCATGGGCAGCTGTTGATGAATGTCTGTAGTTGGAAATGCTTTTCGTGATGAGCCAATTCTCTAAAGCATATAGAAGCACCGACTTGACTGTTTGTGTTGAAAATCCAGATGTTGTTCACGCTTTATGCTGAGTGCAGTGCAGTAGGTACCCACACTGAATTCAGATTGATGAAGGAAGGCATTTCTTGCTGTCTTTCCGTCCTGGTTTTGACATCCTCATCTGTGCCGCCACTGCCTGTAGTTGAGACGATGCTGCCTTGCCTAGGCAGGTGAAAGAGACTACGTCCTTTAGATTTCTCCCGTTCATGATGATTGGTGCTTGTTGTTGATGCTGTCGTTGGTTGGGAACAATCGTTGGTGATGGTTAAAAACTGCTGAATTTCTTGGCAGAGAACGTCGGTATCCATATAGGTGTAGATACACGTTGCTTTTAAGTAACAGCAAACAAAAAATCGTATTCTTGCATCGCCTGTAAACAGACTGTAAAAAACGTCCTAAACGAATAAAGTGCACCATAGTGTTGTATCATTTATTTGAGTTGTATTCTGC